AGGAGAGGAGAGGAGGGGAGAGGAGAAAAGGGGAGGGGAAGAGGGGAGGGAAGGAGAAGGGAGGAGGGGAGGGGAGAGGAGGGAATGGGGAGGGAGGGGAGGAGGGGAGGGGAGAAAAGGGGAGGGGAGAGATTCATCCTCAGCAAAAATCTCCCTCTGACACCCCACTGCAGTAAAGAAGTGGCCCTGGGCTCTCAAAGGCTATGCCTTGAAGGTGTAAGCACCAGAAGCCCTGGGGGTGATGTCTGCCTCTCCAGAAGGAGCCTGGCTCGATTTGGAAAGGCTCATGACTGCTGACCACTAGGTGACGCATTCTTTGGCCATGACAAGCCAAAAAACAAAGAAAGATGCAGCATGCACCCCCTCCCGTCTACAGGGTCTCATCCTGCCCCAGCAGCCGCAGTGACAGACTTGCAGAAAAGGAGGCAGAGAATGCTAAGAATGGCCGTTGGGGGCTCATCAATAACATGAACCGTGTCAAGGCTGCAAAGAGGATGAGAACTGAGAAAAGGCCGCTGGCTCTGGTCATTAAGACACCGTAGTAACTTTGGAGAGAGCAGTTGCAGTTGAATGATGATGTCAGAAGCCAGACTGAGGAGAACTGGGAGAGGCAGAGCAAAGGAGGTGGTGGCGGCTCCTGCAGACGGCCACAAAAGGGAGGAAAGACGTGGGACCACGGTGAGCAGGAATGGATGGATGGGTTTTTCAGGGTGGGGAAGACATGGGCATGTTTAATGTAATACAACAGAGCAGACGCCAGCAGACAAGGAGAGATTAAAGATAAGTGGAAGGCGAAGAGGAGAGAGGGAGCGATCTGCTGGAGAAGACAGGATGGAAGGAGATCACGTGTGTGTCTGTTTGCCTTGGCAAAGAAAAGGGAGGGAGGGACGGAGGGAGGGAGGAAGGAAGAAAAGAGGAAGGGAGAAGGAACCAAATATATACATACATACATATATATATATGTATATATATAGAAAGAGAGAGAGAATATATATGTGTGTATATACATGTGCATGTATGTATGTATATGTGTGTGTTTATATACTGAACACACATACTTATCCAGGGAAGTAAAAAGCCCTTGTCTTTTCTACTGTGACCTTGCCCGGCCACTGTCCTCTTGTCCATCTGAATGATTATGTTTTTCCCCAGAGTCCAGGGGATGGTCTTAATAACCCCTCGGCATCCAGTTTCTGACCATTATCATTTTCTCCTCCCAATGAGTCTAGCAGTTAAAGCTCCCAAGGGGTTGGGAGAGCTGGGACTGAGCCCAGCAATCTGGCATCCTTTTCCCATCGGCGTGCCCCTGCGAGAGCCTGCCAGTCTGCCAGGTGGGCTGCTACTGGGCTGCGGCATCTTCTGGTTCCTGCTGCTGCCGCTGGGGCCCAGAACTCTGCCTGCCGACAGTCAGAGCTTTGAGAGGAGGAGCTGAGCACACGCTGAGAGAGCCGCAGAATGGAGATTAGTCCACACAGACAAGACTGAGAGCTGAGAAAACTCCATCAGATGGTAAGCAGGGAAGCGAGCTGTCATGCCCCACACTTCCCCTGGGCATCCTCCTGGACTGCAGGGTGCTCTCAGACACCCCCGGCCTTCCCCTCATCCCTTCCTCCAAGCTGCAGGAACAGAAGCAGCTTAGGGAAAGGGAGGGTCAGAAGTCCCCAGGTGTGAGCCTCAGGCTCTCTTATCCTCTGTGTGAGGCTGGCTGGACCCACAGGTAGGCTGAGGGCCTAGGCCCTGGGAACGTGAGGGGTGGGCGTGGGAACCCTGGGTTTCCTAGGTCAGGTGTCTGAGCCCGATCCCATGTCACCCCTAGGTCCAATTCTAAAACTGGCCTTTGTGGGCTTTCAAAGGCCCGGCTCCCCCACAAAAAAATGCCAAAGGGGTCCCCAAGAACCAACCAGCCCAGGTGTTTGCAGGCTGAGTGCCCTCTGGCGGCTAGAAGGGAGACTGCAACTTGCTCCAGAGAACTGAGGTGTGGCCGCCGGCCTACTGGACAAGAGCCCCAGCAAGTGGACATCTCGGATCTCGCGCCTGCATAGCTCAAAAGGTCACACACAGGCACGAGGGGTCACACTGCCACCAAGCTGTCTGTGCCTGGCCATGGCCCCCGCTCCTGCCAGCCAGCTCTCCCCAATAACTGGAGGGTCTATACCTGCAGACCTCCAGGTGAGAAGCTTCACTGCAGCTCTCCAGCTGACTGGTGCCTCCCTGCCCACAAGCTCCAACATGGGAACCAATCAGATCCACACTTCCCCCCAAGACCCCTGAAGCAGCTCTGCAACACCAGTGAAGCTGGACCGACAATGACCACAGAGCCAGATGGGCCTTGGGGCCTCCTTCCTCCTCCTGCAATGGCCTGGAGTCGCTGTGCCCCCCCCAGGAGGAGGGGAGGAGCCCTTTCCTGGCCTACTCTGAAGGTGCCAGGCCTGGCCCCAGTGTGGGGTGTGCCGGGCTGGGAGAAATACCCTAGAATCCTTCCTTTGTTGTCCTTCTGTCCCCCTTAAGAGCATCTGCAGCCTCTCCATCAACGAACCAAATCAATGGGTCTGCTGATTTCAGCAGAGATCAGTTCATCTAATTTTTCTGTGAAGCCCCTTTAAATCTTAGCAACAGAGCCCAAGAGGAAGCTCCAATCAAATTTAGATGTTTTAATGATCTGGAGGAAGGGCACAGCGAACATAATTCAATTCAACAGACGACTGAGTGCCTCATCTGTGCAAGGCACTGTGGGAAACATTAAGCTCTCACCAGCAACAAACGCCACGCCAAAGAAAATCCACCGCAGGAAGCCATCTCTCCCAAAGGTCTCCTCCCTCTCCCCTGCCCTGCCCGTTCCCCCAGACCCACCACTAGCTTAGGTCGCCGCGTCCATGCTTGGGAGACGAGGGGGAAACAAAGGGGCAGCTCCTGATGGAACTGGCGTACTCATGTATGCACAGAAATACATAAAAACTAAATATGAAGTAATTTCAGGAAAGGCCTAGTGTAGAAGGTAGTCCTTTGGCTGGGTTCTCAGGGGTGAAGAGGAGAAGGGGGCAGAAGGAGAGGAGACAAAAGATTGTCGTGTTTGTGGAACAGCAAGGTGCCAGCTGGGCCAGGCTGAAGAGGGCCTGAAGAGGAGAAGCACAAAAGACACATGGGGAGGGAGACAAGCCGCGCTGGCAAGGGATCCCCATGCCCACGCGGGAGGGACAGGGAGCCGCGGGGCTCTCCTAAGCCAGGTCAATACTGTGATGTGGTCATTGTGTCAATCAACAAACATTTATTTATCACATACCTTGTGCCAGCCACCGTGCCAAGTAATGGAGACACAAAGACTGGGTAGAGCTAGGTGGCACAGTGGACAGAGTCAGAAAGAACCAATGCCAAATCTGACCTCTGACACTTTCTATCGATGGGACCCTCACAAGTCACTTAATATCTTCCACTCTCAGTTTCTCTGCCTATAAAATGGGGTTAATAATAGCACCTACTTTATAGGAAAGAAGGAAGGAGGGAGGGAGAGAGGAAGAAAGGAAGGGAGGCAAAAAAGGGAGGGAGGAAAGGAGGGAGGAAGGGGGGAGGGAGGGAGGAAGGGGGGGAGGGAGGGAGGAAGGGAAGAAAGAAGGAAAGAAGGGAGGTAAGAAAGAAGGAAGGGAGGAGAGGAGGGAGGGAGGAAATAGAAGGAAGGAAGGAAGAAAATATTAAGCACCTGCTATGTGCCAAACATGACGCTAAGTGCTTTACAAATAATTGTCTTGTTTTATCCTTAAATTCAGGAATCCAATGAGATGGTATTTGTAAAGTGCTTTGCAAACCTCAGAGAGCCATCTACCTGCTAACTATTGTTAGCATCATACTATAAAAGATGGACATAAAATGGTCCCCACTGTGAAAGAAGCTCTGTTGTAAGCAAGCAGGGAGACCCCATGGGTAGCTCCAAGGCCGTCAGGGCACCAGCACCACCACCGTGAGGAAGGGGCAGAGGGAGCAGCGTCTGGCAGGCTCAGGGAAGGCACCCTGCAGCGGATGGCTGGGGAGGTAAGTTTTAAAGGAATTCTAAAGGGCGTTCTAAAGGGATTCTAAAAGGCAGAACTGAGAAATTTTATTCAAAACAAGGAACAGTCAGGGCAAAGGTGCAGAGAAGGATGGCTGGAAGTGTCTATGGTGTGCCAAGCACTGGGCTAGGCACTTTGTAAACAGGGTCTCATTTGATCCTCCCAACAGCCCCGGCCATCATTATCCCCATTTTGTGGCTGAGGTAACTGAGGAAGACAGAGGTGAAGTGACTCGCCCAGGGTCATAGAGGTGGTAAGTGTATGAGCTGGACTTGAACTCGGGTCTTCTTGACTCTAGGCCCAATGCCATACCCAGTGCACCACCAAGCTGCCTTTGGGATGGGAGCTGAAGCACTGCATATGAGGGAAGTGGGCAGTGTGGGAAGAGAAATAGTAACAGACTGGACAGCTCGGTTGGAAGGCACCGGCACCGCAGGCTGT